ACACACACACACACACACACACACACACACACACACACACAACCTGCTGTCAGTTTCAAGGCCAGTCTAAGCTACATGAGTTCTTATGTCTTTTTGCTCTTGGAAGATAATAGTTTTAAGAGGTTCTTCTGTCACGTCAGCCTCTTTTAAAGCACTTTGAGGCCCATCCCTGAAGTTTCTTATTGGAAGGGGCTCCTCACTACTGTGTTCCTACCACGACCCACACCACCACCATCATTACTCTGACATCAAATGAGGTGCCCCTCAAGATTATTTTTTAATTTTAATTGAATTTTCTGAGTGCTGAATTTCAGTGAAATACACTGAGTGAAGTTTATCTCATCCAGTTCAACTTGTCTAAAACACCCTTACTCTATGACTGACAAATGTATATTCAAAAATGCATTTGAATGTAGATTTCACACATTACATCATTTATTAATAGAAAGTAAAACTCCAGGTTATGTTCTCTTTAAGGCTAACCATCAACTTCCAGAAAGTACTTTCGTCATACATGAGCTTTCTCACATGTTAAACCCTGATGCAGAGATATGCAAACTGTTACTTCGGCATAACAGTTTCGTAAGTATGACATATTCCCTTGTGAGAATGTTCATGGCATAAAGCGGTACGTGTTAGCTGCTGTGCTATCCCTAGATTAAAATATGTCCCTATTACAACACTAAATTGGCTAAATTGCATGGCCATTGAAAACTTAAGCATTTTGCTCACAAAACAAATGTATTTTCTTATAAATGTGCCTCTAAGGGATAGGTCTGCTGCTCAGTTAGGAGCACATAGCATGAATGGAAGTGTGTTCATGATCCCCAGTACTGCATAAGCAGGTACAGCAATGCATGCCTGCAGTCTCTACTCTTCAGTGGAGAAACAAGGCAGAAGTGCAAGGTCAGGGCTGGATGGACGGCTCACTGGATAAGAGAACTGGATGCTCTTCCAGAGGACCTGGGTTCTGTTCCTAGCACCCATAGTGTGGTTCACAACTGTCTGCAACTCCAGGTCAAGGGGATAGATACCCTCTACTGGCACCTTTGGATGCTGCAGAGACCACACACATCTGGGGTAATAGACACACATGCAACAGTAAAACACCCATACACTTAAAATAATAAAATAATTTGAATTTAAAGCAGTTTTTTAAAAAGCAGTGCAAGGTCATCCTCTGGTATATACTAAGTTTGAGGTTAAAATGGGATCTATGACACTTTGTCTCAAAAATAAAGAAGGAAAGACAGACAGACAGATTGTGGGACAAAAGGAAGGGAGGTGTTTCTTGGTAATTAGATTCTTAAAACTAGGTTCAAAGATCCTGGCAGTAAATAAAGAGATGGAATTAAGGAAAGGAATGAATGTTAATTTTTTTCATTGTCAAAATTGTTTGCTTATTTTTCTTTCCTTTTTTTCTTAGGTGCCAGAATTGCCCAATCTTGTTGTTTTCAGTGATTTTCTATTTAGCTTTGATTTGCCATTCAAAATTAAATTAATGAAATGTGACTCATCTGCAAAACTGAAGGTATGTATGTTTTTGTTGCCATGACAAAATAACTGAGGCTATCTACTTTATAAAGTATTTTTATACATTTAAAGGATATTAGACATTTTTAATAAGTATTTTAATAGTATTGATGCCAGTCACTAATTTTTGCACATGAACACTAGTTGTCACAGTTTGTTTGGTCCTATAATTGCATTATCTTACCTTGTAAAGATTCAATAACACCTTTCTTAAATTATAAGTGTATAGAGTGTTGGCAGCAAGATACAAAAGATATTTTATTAGAAATATTAAGTGTAAGTCAAACCTGGTGCTTTGTGCCTATAATTCCAGCATTCATAAGGTTGACAAGGGGTATTGTGAGTTCAAGGAAGTTTGGCTGCATGGTGAGATCTTTTGCAAGAGCAAAATCTAAAAAGCAAACAAACTCTAGGGTTATATTTTATAAAAAGGTGGGGAAACATGTAGCCTGGGCTGGCCTTGAACTTGAACCTGGTATATAATCAAGGTGTGCTTGAATTTCTTTCTAAAACATGCTGACATTTACATGCTGTATGTGTGATGCTGCCATCTCTACATGGAGTTCAGAGGACAACTTGCCTGAGTCAGTGCTCTCCTTCCAGCGTGTACACTCCAGAGAGGAAATTGCAGTTAGGAGGCTTGGCAGCAAGCTCTTTTGCCTTCTAAGCCAGCCCACCAGGCCCAGATCTTGAATTTTTGATCCTCCAGCTTCCACCTGCAGGGACTGTAGGCCTACTGTGTGCTTCACACTTTTATCCCCCATAGTCTTCAAGGTCCAAAGGAAAACCAACTGAAAATTTTCTTTTTCTAAAAGTTTGAAGCTATGGCATCTCAAGGAAGGATGAGAACATTTTTAACACTGGAAGTCAGACGAAGTCACCTGGTTGAAGACACCATGCGTCAATTAAGACAAGCTGAATTCTCTGACCTTAAGAAACCACTAGTGGTAAAGAAAATTGTCTTGCTGGCCTTTTTTAATTGTGGGAGGGGACATTCATAATTAAGAAGCTGCGACTTTGGGAGCCCATTCCATATAGAGGAATACTCCCTGAGCCAAGGCCGAGGCCCTATCCCAAAGGCTACGACGGACTCTGATGACACCCTATGGAAGGCCTCACCATCCGGGGGGAGCAGAA